TTCCCTCTATGTTTTTAATATCTTCAAAATGAATTTACCCTTCTCATAATATTTTATATCGAACACAGATATTCCCTCTTATATCTGTATTCTGGGGAGGGGCTTATGTAGCATTTTATTTCACTGTATTGTGTTGATACACGTAACAACCCATTGGACATTTTTTCTTTTAGTTGTACTGATAAAGACTTTTTGCTCGCTCGTTGACTAATACAACATCCTGATATATATTTCGCGTTAACTACTGATATTTACGCTGTCTGACGCAGGTGGATCAGCAGTGTTGGGAATTATGAATGGGCGATAGTGTATCTGGACACGTATATAAAATTTGGAGTCAGATTTCAGAGCTCGACAAACTGGTGAGCCCGACGTGATTAAACTCTCGCAAGTTTCACGGGTAGATATTATTGTTGTTTTCAGTTGAATACTGCAACCAGTCATCAATGACTGTAAACAATACGGATATACATATGTACTGAGAATTTCTCTGGCTGCTTTGTGGTAGGCATTGACATACTTGCTTATCGTAATTTCCCTGCTCTTCTTCCTAAATATTTTTTTGCTGTACCAGTACTGATGTCCTTAAACTGTTATAATCAAGACTTTTCGAATCTAGGGCCCGTGGGTGCCATTAATCTTCCTATGCTTTGTTTTAAGTTTAATGACCCGCAATTGTGGTTTGTCCGTCTAGAAAGTTTCTTCATGGCCAATCATACAACTTCACAAAACACAAAGTTCGGATACACAAGCTCTGTTTTGTGGAAAGAAGTGGCTGAACAAGTGGGGGAGACACTACTAAAGCCCCACCCAGACACACTTTATGATGTTTTGGGGCAGGAGGTGCCGAAGGCTACTTCGTTATCTGACCAGAAGGCTGTCGATCAACTACTAAGTAGCATATGCCTCGGTGATAGAACACCTTCACAACTTAAGCGACATATGCAAAGTCTGCCGAAAGATAGGAATGTAGACAACCGTTTATTCTACCAGCTCTGGCTGCGGAGACTTCCTTCATGCATTCAGCGGATATTAGCCACCGGAGATGCGGACATTGACATTGACAGGTTGGCTGACATCGCTGACCGTATGTACGAAAGGATGCCTAAACCGGTTGAAAGTATTGCTGAGCCAACGCAAAACGACCGAGTGGCAGCTTTAGGGAGGAAGATCGACATGCTTACAGGTCAACTGACTGCTTTGTAGTTAGGCCGACGGTCACCGAAGTTCTGCAGAAGCAGATCCTGTAGCCGCGATAGGACCACGAGTAGAATTGCGTCTAAAAGTAGCACGTGCTGGTATCACAAGAAGTTTGGCAGTGAAGCATGTCGTTGTTTGTTACCGTGCGATTTTAAAACCTTTTAATCGGGAAACGGAAAGGCCGGCGATCAGTAACGACTGCTGTCCCCGGATTTCAGAGCTCGACATACTCACTTTTACAGCCAGTGGTGAGTTTCAGTTTGAACACGACAGTTGTTACGATCTGCGCATCCACGCCCACAGCGTCGCAACGAAACGTGCTTGGAAGCAAACTTCGTTACTCTCAAATTCTCTCAGTTGTGGAACAGACTTCCTGCTAAAAGTAAAGGCCTCCAAATCAACTGATGAATTTGGTCGGTTACTAGCTAACTTCTAACCATCTGGTAACTTTTCCAGCTTATCGAATACACCATCAGTATCCTTCACGACATTTCGTATACCCCGCCCTCTTAGTGTATAATCAGACATCCACCACACCTACAGTGGCCCTTCATACGAAGCATTGGGGAAACTTCTGTAAGTTATCACTTCAAACTAACGTCACATCCTGCCCCACCCAGCACCGTAATCAAAAACAGAAATTCTACACCACATGGCAACATGAAATTTATATTTTTAAGTGCTCTATAGAAAAAGCACATATAATGAACACCATAGCAAGGAAACTTACGCAAGGAGAAACGTGAACATGGAAAACACTCTCCTCTTTAAACTCTTGCTTTCTCCGCCTGCTGCTTTGTCTGTTTTTTCTCGTTGTAGAAAAGCAATTCAGTTCTAAACGTTGGCTTGGTTGTCATCGAGAATTAATTGCTTAGGGAACAGACCATGGCCAAAAACTACCCTCCATGGAGGGTAAGCAGTTTCACTGCGTTCAAAATACCTAACTGCAACAAGCAGAAATAAAAAATGTTCACTGGACTGCAACTTCATAATTATCGAAATCTAAGATTTACTCGTTATAAAAGTGACCAACAAAGTCCAACACTTACCAACAGCAAGGCAGTCACAATCCGTGAAAACGGCGGACAAGATGTCCTGGAAGTCCATTTGGTGCATTAAAACAAATCTGTTGCTTTTGGGTGCCGGAATTAGAAAAGAGACAATATTTGGCTCTCATAATATTCATCAAGATTATGAATTTTTGTCATGGAATGGTATTAACATCCATGAATTATACAGTCCTGGAATCATCAATGAAGTACAATAAGTAAACAGTTCGTGCATATATTCACTCATAAACTTCTCATCATTATCTCAAGCGAAAAGTACAAATTTTTACAATAGAGGTATTAGCTTCAAGCTTTATTTTTCTCCAGGTAACACATGTAATGTCAAGATACAAACCTGTTTTTTTGCTAGTGCGAAGACAGTACTTCCACTTGACCAACTTGTAAATTTTTGCGCACTTATTCTGTTGGGATGTTCTATTATATGAACATGCAGCACTTCAATCTTCTAGTGACCACGGGTGGGGATTGAGATTATCTCCCGTGAGGATTCATGTGATTTATATATAAACTTATTCATACCTGTAAAAATGGTGTGTGCCTGTATATTCAGGAATAAATATTATAATTATTACTATCGTTTCTGGTCTGATACGGCTTCTTCAAATTCATGGAGAGCCAGGAGACCAATATCTTCGTCCCAGTCAGTTTCAGCTAAAGCGTTGCTGAGGGCCGCTTGGACTGAGCTTCAGAGTGTTCTGTTAGAAGTTCTAGCCCTCTAACCTGAAAGTTTATCAGTGTCCCATCCTTTTCGGTGATGCTTTCACCAATCATAGTCTTCCTGTCGGTATCCCTAATAAGCCTGAATAGTTACCGAGTGCTAACCAGTACTGGTGGCTTCACCATCTTTCTTGCTACCCACCACTGTTAGCGACCGGTGCAACGACTGTTGGTCAGCTTACATTCAACTTGCTTCCGCTCTTCATCGCGGTCAGAATCGCCCGGGATCGGTTTCTCATATCAGTTACTTTGGATGACGTGGCGGAAATCCGGTGGCGTTTGCTAACCTCTTTGTGTAGGTTGTCAATAGCTTTCAGTGCTGCTGTTTTTACCGTGGACCCGATGTCACACTAGGTTTTTTAGAGTGAGAGTTGATGTCACACTCAGACAAATGCTTAATCATCACCTCCCCAAATTCAGACTTGATGTTCTCATCTCCCAGTCGACCATAGACAGGCTTCACTGACACCTGCTTCCTGCAACCAATGAGACGTGGATATACACGGGCCCGTACTCGCAAGTGATCGAAATCCAAGCAAGTACTCCGGAAAGAGCGGCACCCTTTCGCCGATGGCTTATCGCGCTATGGTTTCTCCGTGTCGACCGCCTGAAGATAGTCCTAACCAGAAACAATTGTCGGAGCGAAATCGCACCGGACGATCACCGTCGGCATGAGATCCCGTAAGTTCCTCTCCGACTGGTCCACCATCCCCACTGTTGGACATTAAAGTCACTTGCCATTATTACTACATCTGAATATTTTGCTTTCTGTAACAAAACTGACAGCTTTTCATAGAATTCATCCCATAAATCATACTAGCTACAGTCGGTGTGAGCGTAGACGGAGATTACGATTAGGCATCGTCCAGTCTCACGATCCTTCCTAGTTCTAATAGACCCATTCAGTCGAGCAACACATAGACTACCGACTCAATGACAGCTAGCCATTAGATGTCCGGATACCATTAAGGTGAACTTTGAAGATTCATAGCATTGGTCAGGCGAGGACAACTTAATAACCACACTCGAGTCCTGTATACGTGTCACAGTATAAGGGCTAGAGATTCCAGAATTCCAGCGAGTGGTGCTTGCTCTCCGATCTTGCATGGAGCTCAGACGTTGAAAGCTCCCATATGGCAAGGTCTTAGGAAACTAGGAATAAGGTTGTAAAAGCTCTCGTAGTTAACAGTGGTTGCAGAGTGAGAGGTTAGGCAAGGTATAAAAGGCTCATCATCAGTATCAGGAGATGAGGGTGAAGAAAGAGACGTTGCGGAGGCTATTTCTCATTGCGTCTTGTGTACTTCCGAAAGCGTGTGAGTCGACACTTCTCGGCTGTCAACACCGTGGAGGCTAGTCCTTCCTCTAGCACGCGGAGAAAAAGACTTGAGTGACCGCAGGGCCCTTGGGACATCTGCTTGGGGCCTGTCACAAAACGGCCTTTTGCGGGCGATAGTTCCGAGGTTCGTTCGTTTGAACGCATTCCGAGGGCGCCGGAAGAATGTGAGGCAGGGGAGTGCTATTTCTTAATCCGCTTTCCAATTAGGAAGGCAGTATCAGCGTGGAACTGTTGGTCAACCAGGGGAGACACCTTCCTGCCGTCTTACACTATCCAGCCAACAGTATGATTTCGCCCACAGACCCCATCATAGTGTGGTAATTCACATTACGAAGATAACTGTTTTTCGTCTTATCATTACCCAACAAACCTTTCTGGCATGGTAGGACATCGAGGGAACAAGCGTCCCACCAGCATATCTCGTCAGGTCATTGTGATATGCAAGCCCAAAACCACATCAAGGTAGTGGCTATCGGCAGGGGAAGAAGGGTTAACAGAAAGATCTAATTCACATGTCATTACATACATTTTCTTAGCTTTTTCACGTTAGGCAAAAAAGAAGCTCAGTTAATCATCACGAATCTTCTCATGTGCCTAGGATATTATGCAATTCAGCGAGATGCAACCGCACATTATTGCAGATATAGCTTCCTAAATACGCAGACAGAACAAGCACGTCAAATGCAAACGGCAAATATATTTACTGCAAATCTACCACAGAAAAGATAATATAAACATAGCATTTCGTAAATCTCCGATTTGAAAAGGTAGAAAACTCGAAAAATAGTGTAGAAATGACACACAAGTGACATTAGATAGTCTTTCATACCAAGCATTTACTAAGTTTGCAAAATTTGACACAAAAATTACTCTCAGAATAAGAATCCTGACATTCACAACTTCACTCCACACATCACTTGCTCTTTATGAGATCGGTATTCTGACAAAAGTTCGGGTAAGGGTGCATTGCAGTCAAATACCTGTAGTATAATATGTAAATGTCACAAAACAATGTCAATGATGAGAGAATCAGCATATATATATATATATATATATATATATATATATATCGACAAAACCTTCAAGTTTCTCAATGCCACTGCTCAGTTCTAACTCAGAAGACAAATGGTCTAAACAAATAAGGAGTCTTGTTAAAGTCTGGCTCAACACTTATATGCACTTTTTATGCATTCACTTGGCATGCATAACTAATAAAGATACAATTTAACAAATTGGAGTTGAGCTTGCTGTTACAGAACGGGGTGCTTCAGGGTGGCATAAGCATGAAATCAAAACGAAATTTGGACAGAACATAATTGTAATTATATGGTGGATAAAGTTTCAAAAGTGGAGGTGCAAAAATCTCCATGAAAGCATTACTTTTGAATTTGCGTAACAACGGTCATGTCTCCATAAAAGTGTTGACAAATCGTTTACGAGGACCTCTGGGAAATGTCGTTACTGCTGTCACCTTTAAATTGTCTTTTACACATAGGACGATTTTATCTTTAAGCGGGAAAAGAAGGGGGAATCATCGATACTTCCAAAGAGGTGCATTTCACTGAGACCATCTGTTCAGTAAACATAAAGTGATTTTTTGTAGTCCTCAAATTTAAAATAGCCTACTGTCTTCTTGTTCTTTAAACAAACGAAGTAGTCGACATTGAAACCATGACATTGGAATAATGTGTACGCAAAAGCTTTGTTCTAACACTTGCTTCTCCCTGGCTATGCTGACAGATGTAATCATTTCGAGCTCACATTTACAAATAGCAGACAAATTTGGCTGATTTGTTTTATTTTCTGCTTTTATAGCTAATTATTTGTTTATCCCGCTTCATTTGATGTTATTCTTACTACAATTACTCCTTGTTTTAATTTCATTTTGACTTCACACTCACTGCTTAGTTATTCATTAATGTTGGTAAATTTTAACTTTGCCTTACAATACTTTCCAATCCCCTGGCTATCCGATACCAACTCGAATCCCAAGTTGCCGTATTTATATTTGTTATTCATATAAGCAGAATTCCATACAAAGTTTGAGCACAATTAGATTTTACGAAAACACATATTTACTCAAATCATTTTTTCTTCATCATATTGCCAATGAGAACTTCCCGGGAAATATTGATTGACTTTAAGCGCCACCATAGCAACTCCTAAGATAACCAATTAGGCTTCTATATTTTATGAAAAACTACATTTCCAGCCAGAATACAGTAACCTGATTGGTTAATTCAGCAGTTGCTAAGGTGGCCTTTAAAGTTGCCCATATTCCATGCCTTTCTAAAAAAATAAAAATGTCCTCTGCTACCTGTTTCAATATTATTGGTTTTTTACACTTCATCACTAATATTATTAACTTTCACTTGTTTGAGACTACTAATGTGAATGTCATTATAACGCCGTTCTCTTGAGATAATTGGGCTGAATCTATCTTATTTTGCAATTGTCCTACATACATATGTCATGAACTTAGTTACTCCATTTTGAACAAATGGGTCACTTGTTCGAATTATTCTCCATCTATCAAGGCCTTGGTAGCCAGTTAGTACTAAGCCTTCATACAAAGACCTGGTCCGGTCAATTTTGAAGGCCACCCTAGAACTGCTGAAATAACCAATCAGGTTACGGTATTCCGTCTAGAAAGGGAGAATGTTATAAAATAAATAGAAGTAATTGGTTATCTCAGCAGTTGCTAGGGTGTGTTTTTAAGGGCTACCCTAGGAACTGACTACATTTCTATATTTTAGGAATAACTTTATGCATGACGAGTTCATCGATCAGGGCTTTCAATTCCGTGCTTTAGTCTCAAGTATTTGTATTTTCACCTACATATACTTAATCCTCACTAGTGATGTTTCAGAGTGACTTTAAAGGCCATTCCAGCAACTGTTGAGATAAACAATTAGGTTTCTATATTTTATGAAAAACTAAATTTCTAGTCAGAATACAGTAACCTGATTGGTTAATTCAGCAGTTGCTAAGGTGACCTGTAAAGTCACCCGAAACATTTTTCCATACAAGATCAGAGAAATGAGTCGAACAGTTTCACTTCCAAAAATGTGACACAGTAGTATACGGCCAGAGGTAATTGGTATATATACCAGTTGAGTGAGTCAACGGATTCGATACAACCTAGTTTTTTTTTTAAAAAAAACAAAAATCATCTCAACAATCAAAAACCACACTGGACCTCAAACGATTAAACTCAACCGTAGCGATTAATATAACGATTCGTAAGGTAGACTTAACATCCAATTTAATGAATTTTACTTTCATAACATAATCCCCTTAGTTGATTGAAAGTCGTAAATGATCGTCTAAAAGAGACTGTAGTTAAAAGTCTTTAGAAAACTGTTTCCTAAAACAACCTGAAGGAAGGTACATCCAGAAATGTTTAGTGTACATACAACTACCGAACACAAACTGTTACATGTATATATTACGGTAAGAGTAGTCAATCAATGTTAATTGGCCTTGGCATAGTAGTTATATATTCCAATTCATCTATAAGTCAATTTAATTTGCAGTTTTTTAACACGTTGCACACACTTTTCTTAAAGTATTTTAAGCGTTACAATAATCCTTGTACCCTGATTCTTCCTTTGTGTAAACTGATGTGAAAAATAGAATATACTGACGTTGACAACGTTACCGCAGTCACAGCAAGCTAGTTTTAACTACTAAAACCAGTGTTCACAAGTATATCAATCAGACTGGAAATATAACAGAATTACACAACTTGGAGTGTAAAAAATGCAGTAGCTGAATACACTTATTAGTTTACTTTTCATGTTTAAAGTGAAGGCATTTTATGAACTGGAGGTGTTGATAACGAAGGGTTACAGTCTACAAGGGTTAGTTATTTACAACAGCATTGTGAAATTTACTTCAAGATGTTTGTGAAACATGGCTTCTCAAGATGGACTAAGTGAAAATGCTTATAAGATCATGAATATTGCGTGACAAAGAGATATTTAGGTTAAATATTAAGTAGACGTCAAGTCGTGTTAACATTCCACTTTAGTTGATTTATTAGATGTGCCACTTAGTGGGACATGATTATTTACTGGACTACGTTTCGAACGCAATTTATTTGTCAAGATAACTTTGAGATATCCTTCGTATAGCCCTAATTTCCTCGCCTCCCTTTTTATAATAGGTAGTAGAATTTTCTAAGTTTTTTTTTACCTTACTAGAGTTTACCAATTCTGACCCTGGTCAACTACCTTGAGCTATACACATTTGACCTCGCAATCATTGCAAGGGATTTGGTAAACTACATTATTCTGCACAATTAGATCCATAGGATCTTTCAACCTGTAAAGTTAATTTCTAAGTGATTTTGTAGGTTTAAATGTCACTCTAATCCCAATCTTATGTAATGTCTCTGAGGTGCCTTCTTTGTATGGTAATACTGTGAAGGTTTCAAATCTTCCCTTCACAGTACTATCCACTACTATCATTAACATCATTATTACTACAAATAACACCTATGTTACTATCATTAGTCATATTTCTTAACAATTCCCAAGAAAACTTACTAGCAAAACACAAGATCCAAGACAAGAAACCATGGACATTAAGGACACTTTACTCATCAACAATTACCCTCCTAAATTAATTAATAAGTCCCTTAGGAATCGTAGAAGAAATATAACTAATATCAATAGCAAAGGCGTTAATAATAATAATAATAATGATTCACTCTATTCCAAACAATCTGTGGTACAATTTGGAATTATCAGTATGATATATTGCAACAACAACAAAATATAAGTATATACATACTCCTTTACAACATTTCGAATTGTGTTGTCATTAAAATCTCATTGATGTAAAGAATATTAAGAACAAGAATTTTACATTTTTAGTTAAATTACTGAAATGACATTTTTAATTGTTACAAAGTTGATATGTGATTTCTGTTTTAACACTTTTTCCCTCACAAAATATCCGTGCTAGATAAGATACAGTCGAATTCTTATATTAGTGATCATACTGACCCGTCCAATTTTATTCCCTTAATACAAATAGACTGTATTATACTATATTATATTATTATATTATTTTGCATTATATTAATGACGAGGTATAATACTTATTCATGTATTCTCATTAAAACAAAAATCATCCTATTATAAAGTGAACTACAAGTGGTTCACAACACTGGGGTTGAGACTATACTACTAAATCATAACTTCGTGTTTACTAGATTAGTAAAACATTTTTTAAATATAAAAAAGAGTAAATGCCAAATTATGAAACACATTATTTATTGAGAATTTGTAAAGACTGGCTAAGAATACAAAAATGGGAGGGAAAACCTCCTCAAAACTCACTAATAAAGGAGCAGGCAATGGCCCAAAACTTCGGTCTATAAGCCATGATTCGTGTAGTTTGTGCAATTGTTCTACGTATTCCTGCGGAAAGAAAACCAATATTAACACATAAAACACAGATTACACTGGTTGACAATAATATTTAGGTGGATGGAATTTTCTCTCTCTCTTTGTTTGAGTAACAGATCACCAATAAGAGTTTTTAGGATTTGTCCTGGTGCGAACTTGATAGACGCAAAGACCAGTCACTAATTATTCGGACTTGTTATATACCCACGAATTCGAGACCAAGGAAGAACACAATAAAGTAGTCGGATGGAATAGTATATTTGGATGGTTGTGCCAAGATACCGATGCGTCCCAACTAACTGGCTAGAGTCGAATACGAGCAGTGCAACATAACACGACAGCGTGCCAAATGGCGAGGATGCTTGACCGGGTGCCTTCAGCTTAGCGAGTCCAGTTAAACTATCAAGGTCAGCATCAATGTCGAAAGTCGTCAAACCCTAGGCTACTGATTTTGGGGAAGTGTGTGACATTACATGTTCACTACTACTTTACTGCTAGTTTTGACACTCCAAGACATTTAAACCAAATACGATTATTGTTCCGATGTAGAGTTGTGACAACGAACGATATTACCTAACGATTAAGACGGTCCAACCCGAGTGATTCCCAAAGAGAAATCAAAAGTCTGGAAATTAGCTGACTTTATAGTGTCTTGGACTGAAAATGTTTATTACTGAAAACGGACCGTATTTATAGAGTTTACAGTAACCTTGAAAGGCAAGGAATAATTAGTACATTTAAAGAGGCAGGAGCCAATCAGAACGCTAGCGGGTCATACGAAATATGACGCATGCGCAGGAAAAGGAAGGCGAAGTAAAACAGTTCAAATATACCCAAACTGTAAGTATGAAATTTAAGCGGTAGATATATAGGCATCCGCAAAAATTATAACCTTCGAGAAAAATCTGATCAAAATGAAGGGGAATTCATTTCTATTTGACAATCATTCAACTACTACTCATATACTGCTCGTATTCTTCATTTACCAAGTTATGTACTCATTTTAACAACAACTGGATGCAACATAGGTATTAGGAATTTTTCCCTGTAGTAGAATATAGCATTGCAAATCTAGTTTGCTTTCAGCATAGTCGGACAGGTACACGTTCAACTGATTGATGCCAGCTTTTGCAACTGATTCCGGAATTGATCAGATAGTAGTTGGGAGTGTCAAGCTCAAGAGTACGCAGATGCGACAGTCTACATACCGCAAGCTAAGCGGCAAGTTTGCACAGAACACCGCAATCAGTAAATTGAGGTCATTTGACCAGCCAAAACAACTACTTCAAAACAAAGGTTATGAGATACATAGCGCGTCCAGAGACAAACTAGCAGCTATCACTGTACAACAGTAGTTCAATTTAATCAGATAAAAAATAAAGACAGAGTTTAGAAACAGGGATAGAAAACTACGCTCGTCATAATTTAAATATTGAAACGTGGATAAAGTGAACCTCAATCATCAGGATGCAGAAAATAGAAACAGGTGGATGCTAAGGTTGCAGACATCGGTAACCGAAGTGAAGCTTCAATTTGAATTTTCTACCATTGGCACAGACAACAGCTGCTTCATGTTGTGTTCAAACCTACTGGACGACAAAATGACTACCACGTAATGTGTCAAGCACCCAGTAGTAATTTTCTGAGTGATAAAACACTGAATACAGGATTTTCTGCTTCGCTTCTAACTCCGATTTCGAATGTAATTAACATCTCGCATATGCAATTTTGAATGACTTCGGAGACCATCTTGACGAAAATCCATGCGTAGAAAATGGAACTATACACAATAAATGACATCACCTAACACACAGTTATTTCGAACCCGTGAGTCGGTCAGCAATGGCTAAGAAGTCAATATAAAACTCTTGAACTGAGTTATGTAAAAATATTGTAAAATAAGTCTTGAGTAGAATCTTTACCTGGTGTTCACATTTTTCTCTTCGGCTGATATAACATATTGATAAAACGGAAACCTAAGAGAGAATATTCTGGGACCCTAAGGCTACTTGTACTCACATAAATGAAGTCAGTCACTCAGTATAAAGACTGGGACTGGCATTACTATGTAACAGTCAGAGTTTCCACATCCTCCACCACTATATCAAGGTAGAAGGCATACAGATAAAAGAAATATGAAAGGAGAACAAAAGTGATGGAATATCGTATAAAGAGAAGATAAAGGAACAAAACATAATGAGTAAAAGACAACGATTCACATAAAGATTATATGTGAGTGAATCTGCACCACTGCCTTCGATTCTGAATCATATCATCTAGTCTCCAATAAATAAAATAAATGAAACTTAAGTTATGGACATAAACCGACTTTGAGGTAAAGTTTTGACCAATGTTTCTGTCTTTTACTTTCTCAGTTTACTTGAAATTGCGATCGATGAGGAATTAAGATGCTATCATTCTTAACTTTGAATGCTCAAGTAAGTCAAGACTCGGTTCGCGTTGACAGCTATTCTTACTCCACATCATAATCATAGTCAGAAAGTTCTGTACATCAGCTAGTCATAATGAAGTTAAGCAAACGAAATACGTAAGTGAGTAGTTAGGAACTACTCAGATTTACCTTTAGATTTTGCCAACCTTATCAGAGTGATCTACAAAAAATTTCCAAACATGTTATCCTACCAGTCTATCCAAGTGAGCTAACCAGATTCACTTGGTCTGAACAGTTCGAATCTGTGAGGTGAATTTGCTGGGGTAAACCACTGGTTAGCTCGGTCCCAAACGGCAGAAACGGCTATCCAGTGTTTAAATTACTCTGATCTCGTTGGCGAAATCTATAGATAAGTATGAGTGAGTTCTGACTACTCATATCGTTCAGTAGTATATTTCGTTAGTTCGTGACACCTTTTGATCTTAGCTGAATGGTTTCCAACGGGAAACCTGTTGATACCACAGACGGACAGTTGAGAAAACTACTCAACTGTGAGATAATGGCAAAGTGAAACATGCGATTTGTAAATCATTTGCAAAGTGATTATGCTATTCAAGTTAAAGTCAGTCGTTTTTAGCAACTTTTGGGTTTTATGTTATCATTTCCGCTGCATTACATCACTTAACATACAGCGAGATTTACACCACACATAAAACAAAAAAATAAAGTTACCATACAAGACCTTACTATAAATTATCAATCATAATACAGAAAAAGCTAAAAGGTAAGTAGCAATCACAAGAAGTGAGAAGGTTGTACTTATTAATTATTTTTTTTTGAATTTACACGTATAAGTAAACAAACTATCGCAAAATGTGGAACAGAATTGCGATAATCTTTACAAAAAGCCCTAAATTCCTGAAGCTTTCTACAACCAATCATGTTGGACCGAAGTTTCGAGAGAAACCACATGAACCAATGTGTAAATATCAGATTTGTTGAAGGGATGAAAATCAATAAGACATTCAAATCTAGAAGGGTCTGGAAATAGCCAAGGTCACTGTGAATATACATAAACCATTGTATTTTTAAAAAATATTTTTGACGTTGTAATGCAGCCGTTACCGAGAAAACTGAGCGATCACTAAGCGTGGAATCTAAAGGTTGTTATATATATATATATATATATATATATATATATAACTGGTGACGTGGTTATGACAAGTGACGACAAAGCTAAAATATAAGAAAAACGCTATCCAGGAATGGTTTAAAAGTAATGTAAATACGTGTAACAAATCTGAGAGCATAAAGGGGAATAATAAATTTGTGACGTACCAAAGGAATATCTGCTTCACCAGAACGTTGACGAGCTCGTATACGTTCCATGCACACTGTTGGACTTGCACGTAAATAAACTGAAAGCAATGGTGGATTAAAACACTAGAGTATCGGTAACCATGTACACGTTTTACACAATGGGTGATAAGAAACATTAATTATTTGCAAATTAGCAAATGTCCTACTATGACTACTTAGGTTCTAATAAGTAGTTCGAAATTGAAGGTTAAGTGTATAAAGCAACTGATTAAATATGCGAACAACCTTATAAATCGACGGAACAGAGATATGTATTCGAAACCAACATTTAACTTCAGATTCTAAAGCTTTTATAGCGTTATAACACTTAAGATACCATGTGTGGGATGTCGAAGCATTCAACTTCAATCACTGACTTGAAGATGCAAGCTTAATTCATCTATCGCAAATATGTTAATCCATTCAACAATATACAAAACTTTCATTAATATACCTAATCCACCTGATTGGATGTGAGCAGTTGAACAAGCTGGCAATAATTTACACGAAAAGCGTTGCTCTAACACCACAGTATATCAGCAGGTATAATGTATGGAAGTTTCTAGAGTATGATAAACATGTGATCGAGTTAAGACAATCCGCTCTGTACTACTGTACAACGGTGAGATATGGCCGATGACAGTAAATGTGAAAAAGTTATAGGTTTTTGATCATAGGTGCCTTCATAGCACTACTCACCAAGTAAGAAATGTTAAGGCTAGAGGAAGGGTAATAGAGAAGGAACGAAAGTCAACTAGTAAGGTTGTGAACCCCCATCTTCTGAGATATGCTGTGCATACCTAGCCACTGAAATGTATAACACCACTGAAAGCAGAACTAGGTTGGAAGAAGGTTTAGATTGGTCACACTACAACTTAGCACCACTCCATGAACTCGCCAATTTTTGATCTGAATTGTGTAGATTATCTGGTTGGGGTCACTGGAACCATCTACGACGTCTCAAAACCGGTCACAATGACCCAGATATACGCATCTTGTGCCATCTTCCAAGACTTCAATGTTTTTATTAACCTTCATCTATTCTTGCTGTTTCATCTCATACACTTTCGTTTACCTTAATTTCACCTTTTTCTAATCACCTCCTCTTCATATGCTGCTGTGGAGTGTAGCAACTTGAAGTGATGGACTTATGTACCAGGTTGCAGGTTGGTCTGTTTGTGTTTGATCGATCAGGACAATATGCAAGGAGAATTAGGTTACATGTTTCATTTGACACCCACTACTGTTTTACTTAATGTTAAGCACTAAAGTTTTGAGGTTCAATTGTACTTTAAATGGTATTCTATCGCACATAATTTTCAGCTAGTGCAAACTTATAGATTCTTAGGAAACATCACTTCTACCTAACTGAAATGGGAAGGTGGTTATTAAGACATGCTTCAATTATAACTTGCCACGACCTTCTGCGCTGCATACAAACAGAGCCTCGAACACACATAGTTCGGCATATGATTGTAGTAATTACATATCCCAGTATCCATTGCAGCAAGGTTAAGTGGATCCTTTGGTAGATAGTTCGGTATGTCGCCGACACCATAACTAGCACATATCAAAGAATCTTTTGGATACTAACTGAGGTCCCATCAGCAACCAACAACTATAAAGACGATGAATGGCAGTATTGAATTGACCCCAGTGATCACAGTTTGTAACAGAAGGCAGGAGAATAAACAGAATATCCAAATGAATTAAGGGAAAAAGATAAAGACCAGAGAATACAATTAAAATGAATCAGGAAGATGTTCAGGACGAACAGAAAGTAAAATCCTAGGAGCATCTGCAATAATCGCAGAAACATCAACTAGTTGGAGAACACAACGATAAAATCATTTATAGAATAAGATGACATCATTTCATAGGATTTTCATCAAGTACCAGCGAATTGAACAGATCAGAGAATAATCACTGTGACATCAATGTAATACCTCATCCCTTAAGTGATTCAGGACACCAAAGAGACGCCGTGAAGTCCTTCACGGCAGACAACAGACTTTTTGCCTTCTTAGGATTGAAACTATCACTATTCAACGGGTTCAACTGGAATCGTATTCAAAAGGAAACAGTTTCATCCTCTTACCATTTTAAATTTTGAAAGCTTTCTTTATCCGGATTCCTGTCTATACTCATATTAACAATCGTTTCGTCATTAGTATATTTATTACTATTAAGAAAATTTATCCTGACCATTTGTCATTTTGCTTAGATAACATTTTCACATGATAGCATCATCCTCCTACTAATTTTTAATATTATCTCACTTATTCGTGGACATCTCCCACTATGTCTTATACAAAATGTAACTGGTTGAACTAAATCTTATGTAAACAGCGTAATGAGAAGACGAAGATTATCTGAAACATGTGATGTATTAGCGCTATACATTTCGAACAATCTGATCACACATGGACTTGTCGAACTATTTATATGAGAATTTACGAAAAGGTCAATGAAGTTAATGGGAACATAGGAATAGGAAGGGATAGAAAAGGAAAACCTTATTCTTGGTATGAAAATTAAAATCAATACTACCAAGGTAGGTTCAACGTGAGTACAAATTGTTTTTGTATACATAAAGGGGTTTAAATTTATGGATGGCAAGAGCTTCAATAAATCTAAGCACTCGGCTCTGACCACTTTTATGTAGTACTTTAAAGGCTGTTTTCATGTCTATCCTATGGTTAGTTTCATATAAATAGTTCGACAAGTCCATGTGTGATCAGATTGTTCGAAATGTATAGCGCTAATACATCACATGTTTCAGATAATCTTCGTCTTCTCATTACGCAGTTTAAATTTATCAAAGGGACCAGTTGCTTTAAATCTTATTTCCCTAACCTCTTTTGTTTTCTGAATACTAACTAGTCTCTTAAGATGCTCAATATAAGGGATATTAATATTTATCACAGTGATTATTTACTTCCTTATCCAAGCTGCATACAGTTGATGAAGATTCTATGAAATAAAACGATATCATCTTATTCTAAAAATGTTTTCGCTGCGCCACTTGAAGTTCACTAAGGGAAATAAGTGTAAGAAATTTAGTTGTTAACCTTAGTTGTTATAAATACTCCATTTAGAAGAAAAAAACACTTTTCCTCAAAGCAAAAGTTAACAGTTGGCCATTTTACAAATTGTTAAATCTTGATTTTTCTTTTAATATTCAAATTACTGCATCTTAGTTACAATTTCTAACAGAATTCTACAGTTTGCAACTGCTTACATCGAATAGGACTATTTCAACCGTGTACTCTAAGTGAATTATAGAATCTCTATCAAAGAGAAGAACCCTATGAAATTGAAAGAGAAAATGACTCCTGTAAGTAAGTCTGTCATTAAGTTAAATTAAAATAGAAAAAGTTGACACGCCTGGCCAAGATTTCAACTTCAAGAAAGTGGGGTTAATGAACCTACTTAAGTAAGGACACTAACACAATACTACCAACTAGTTCCCACTTTATTATCAAACTGTGGCAATGCAAACTATGTCTCCTCAACACAGCGTGATCAAAAAACTTGCCCCACATTTTGAAAAGTCTTAGTGATCAATATCAATACTCTAGGCGAAAAAATGTATATGGCGGATTATGCTTTAGGAAATCTGAGTAAAACTGAAATGTAATCCAATGATAAAATCAAACAGTGAAAAAAAAATCATGTGCTTTCAAACTTTACTTGCCGCCTGAGTATCTTTTCACGATCTTAAAACAAAGGTTGAATGAACAGAAAGATAAGACATTTTAAGGTGAAAAACTAACATTCTTATATAGAGTAAACCTTATTCCAAATTATTCTCGAATATAAGTTAGTTTTACCGCGTGGAAATCACGAACACTGAACTCTGTAGTGTAATTGGAAAAGCGCCAAATAAGAATTATAAATAAATTATACAAATCAACGAGATAATATTGATAGTGAGGAAATACAGACAAGGTCGCCTAGGGAAATGGAGTTTAGGCTATTATTCAATACAATCACGTGGATAGGTTTGGTGGGAACTGAAATGCAGCTAGAGACAGTAGTATACGCTTGTAGCTCATGATACGGAAGTTTAAGCTTGGTTAGTCTCTCAGCTATGGCTTTGTTTGCCAAACGTTTTAGCACCACGCTAAATGTCATCATTAGTTTAACTAATGATACCGAATACGGTACAAATGATCGACTTATACGGAACAACAATCCAATGGTGAGTCATCCACATATTCCCAGTTATCATATATGGGATAAATGCACAATAATGTTGTTTATAGACCCTTTCATAGCTGGGCCTGCGATCTTAACTGGAAGCTAGTGAAGAAATCTGCCAAAAGAGCATAGTTACTCAAATTATATATCTATAGTGATGAATATACATAGGGACTAGTTATATTTCTCCTCGAATACTCGCATATAGAACTAAGATGCTCTGACTGAACATGTTAGCTAGAAGTACTTTGATTTCGCGGAAAATACAATTTTATACCAATATCATGCACTTTTCAGGTTACTCCATTGTGTTGGTTCTTCAGATTCTCTGCTTGATTGTTGACTGTAGCCTTTATGAAATGAAGTGCCTACTTATTGCAGTTAGTACCTGAATTTCTCAGTTCTGGTGGAAAATATTTCAGAAACTTATTGACTCCACAACTGACATAAAGCTGCATCACTCAGTGTGACGGTAATATACAGTCATCCTAATTAAAATATCTTCTGATATCTGGTTCATTGAGGTTGACAAATAAAGTAATGAAACGATTTACTTTAAAAGTTATTGCCCAGAACTATAAAAATCGCACTAAATCAGCATTTGAGGGAAATAAGTTAGTTTGTCAGATTTTAATTAGGGAGTGATGATACTACATAATGTTTACATAACATTGTAAGTTGACAGGAAACGGAAAATATGTTTTTAGAAGTCTGTGATAAGCATTCACTTTTCTCCTCATTGGACGTAAAATAAATAATGCAGCAGGTACCTAGGAAAGATCCACTAGCTCATTAATAGTCCTTTCTATTATTTATTATTATTTTTCCCTTGGGTTCCTAATGGAATATAAAGTTTCAGTAGCACGGCTCCATTGCACTCTGTTCTCTGCAGTCTTTCGAACCTGGCCACGACTACCCATAAGCTTTCATTTCCTCCTCACACGATCTCCTCCATGTTACCCTCGGACGCCAAACTCGTTGTTTCCCTTTGTATTCCACTCTAGGGCCTGGTGTGTGATGTCCCCTGTCGGCCTTCTCAGTGTATGCCAAATCCATCTCCACTAATAATCCTTTTTACACAACCGTATTTAATCTGCGAAAATTGGGTTTTCTTACAAAATAAAAAACACTATGGAGAGAAACATTTAAGTCATAAAGTGGGAAATTCACGAATACAGTAACATTTACTATGGATACAACAAATGAACATACCGATTAAATCTATCGGTATACTTTTATTCTTGAATACCCACTGGTATATACCAAGGAGTTCTTTATAATCTGCATCTGAAATGCTGCCGCTGTAGGGTGAAAATATACATGATTTTATTAGTATCATATTTTCTTATTACGCACTGATTATATTATACGCGCCTTGAATTAATCACATATGTCCACTTTTAAATCAAAGGTAGGTTGTGCAAAAACAACTGCATACATATGAATCCTGGTTAAGATTCGACCGGATACTTTCACCGATATTGGGAACCGAGTGAAAAGTTAAAATTAGACATTAATTATGCTTGGATAAATCTCAGCGTGTTTGAAATAAGAAATTCAAACGTTTTGCACGAAAGTTTGATCCGAGTTTCGTCAAGGAAATAATCCAAATCGACATTATCATAGATGTATATAACGGGTCAAAAATCGTATAGTTCATCTCATTGTTCAGTCGTGACTGGATTGTCTTTTAGTAGGGTTATTAGTCATTTACACTATGGTCTATCAATACACAATATGTATACAAACTATGCCTGTGTGTCGTATGCATCGTAAGTATCAATGGACTATGGTGTAAATGACTAATAACCCTACTAAAAGACAATCCAGTCACGACTGAACAATGAGATGAACTATACGATTTTTGACCTGTTATATATATATATATATATATATATATATATATGTATATATATATATATATACGTACGATAATGTCGATTTGGATTATTCCCCTGACGAAGCTCGGGTCAGACTGTCGGGCGAAACGTGAACTTCTTATTTTAAACAAGCTGAGACTTGTCCAAATATAACTTACGATTGCACATATTTCGATAATTTTCTACAAGTTTAGAACGAGCAGAAAACACTCGCAAAACCCAGATATCAGTCTGCCTCATCTACATAGACTAGAACACTTATAACCGGATAATTTACCGGGAACAAAAAAACGCCTAAATACTATCTAATAAGAAAATAATACATAGAAGACACCGAAGGACAGTGCTGATCAATAACCAGGATGTTTTCACCAGGACACTTCAACGCAAGTCACTATTTGCTTCTTTTCTTTGCGAATGACGTAAACATACAGTACCTAATTCATAAAAATTGTTTCAATGGAGTACAAAAAACATTTTAATCACATTTTTTCTCTCAAAACATGCATCATTTACAATGAACAGTATCTAATGAACACATGAGCGAATGGTACAGCAGTTCAATCATATGTAGTACTAGTGTACCTTACATTCGGATATTATACTGCTTTTTCCAACTATAACTCTACAGCGCATTGCAAAAAAAACAATAAATTACACTATATAAGCTAACAGTTTCTTTCAATTAGCTCTAACCGGACTTCATTCACTTCAACATGCATAATTTCTTTTTCTCATACGTAAAACAGCATACCAATCATGGCGAATTCCGTAGCCTGTAGCAACAATATAATAAAGTGTGAAAATAATAAACATTATTATCGTTATTGATAATAGGTGACGACTGAAGGTAAGATGAAAATCTGGATCACGACAGGATTAAGACCGGTGACCGCTGGGAGGCCGCATCAATAAAACGACCCTCTCAAATCACGAACATCTCAGATAGTCCCACAGATTAAAAAAATGTTCTGATGATGGTACAAATATTGGGAACAGTATGGTACCGCAAAACTTTAAGCAATCAACATACGTCAAGGCCTAGAAAAATAAAAACTGTATAGTATCAATTATGTCACAGTTTTTCGATAGTAGTCGCGCAATAAATAAAACCGAAGGGTTCAAAATCATCTTTGGCATTTCGTAAAACCTTTCGAGTGGAGTTCTTATTCGCATATTATATATGTTTGAGGCTACTGTTTACTTATGTCTTCTTCTAATTTCGGGAGTTTTTAACATTCTTGAATGAAAAATTATAAATGTAAAATATGCTCCGCATACGATCATTAATCCCAAGTAATATCGAATAAAACCGGAGTTCGAACCTTTCAGTAGCATTTCTCCACTCCACTCTGTTCTCTGCAATCCTTTAAACCTGGTTCCACGACAGCCCACAAGCTCTCATTTCTTCCTCACACGATCTTCTCCATATCACCACTCGAGCACCTAGCCTGGCGCGCGATGTCCCCAAATGGTCTTCTCAGTGCATGCCCAATCCATCTCCACTTCGATTTGCATACTTGTTGGGCGATAAGTTCTTAACTGGTTCGTTACAGGCCAGGGTTCCTTGGTGCTTATTCGTTCTGACCTTCCAATCTGAGCTTCAGTAACGAGCGTAGGCAGATATTGATGAATATCTGTAGTTTATTGGAAATGCTTTACGTGACGTGCCAAATCTCTGAACCATATAGAAGCACTGACTTGACTGAATTAATGTTGAAAATCCGGATCTTGTTCTTTATTCTGAGGATAATGTGTGTATACATCTGCGCCACTGACTTCGGTCGTGAGCTATATTACCTAGAGTCAATCTCCAACTACTGGTTCCTCTTGTCCCGCGGATCCCAACCACCTAGTCTGCATCACCCCATATGGCTCAAATCAACAGTCAAAAACTTCATACATTTATGCCATGTTTCAGTTTGGCTACCCCTGGCCTTTTTCCACCATAAACCTAATTCGTGCAACATTGTGTGACGAGACACACGGAGGTTAGACACGCGTAACACATGTCCCAGACATCTCAGTCGATGAAGGCTTACAACCACATCAAGTGACTAACGTCTCCTAAAACTCTACACCTGACTTGTTTTATTCACGTGGTGACACCACGAAACACGGTTTATGCTACGAAGGGAGGCAGTGGTGGTCAAACACATGAAGCCTACTGATGTCTTCTACCTTTGATGGTTGTTTCACAGCCGTAGAGTAGAAGAGAGAGGATTACAGTCCAGTACACTCGACCCTTAATAAGCAGTCGGATATCTCGCGGTGGCGCCACAAATGACGTAAGTAGGCAAAATCGAACTGAGACTTCTGTATTCGTGCAGAGGTTTCGTCTGTCACTGAGCCACTAGGGCTGATCCGACTTCCCAGGTAATTGGAGTGGTTAATGTGCTCAACCACATCACTCCTTATTGTTAGCCGGGGCATCGTTAAAGACCAATCCTGGAGCAACGATTTTCTTTTGGGTGGTGAGAAACGCATTGTAAACATTCCCGAATTGCTACTCACGGTGTTCATAAGACTGCATTTTGTCAGCGTCTTCAACTAACAGGACTATGTCATCTGTGTATTCGGGGTCTACCGAAAATTCACCAGTGATGGCAGTCAGATGAGACCTCCATAAGAACATCTGTGACAAAACGGAACAAGAATGGAGCTCTGGCTCAGTGGTTTAGGGAGATGACTATCAACCAATGGGTCACGGGTTCAGACAGAGCTCCACCTACCGAGGTTTGGGCAGCCGGGATTTCAAAAGTGTCACCTAAGTACCTTACTGTCTAACTCAGCCTACTCACTTGTGCATTGACATCATCTGCAACAAAAACGTCTGGACGTCTGGCTTTCAGAAGAAGGCTAGACAATTTCAATAGAACTCGTGCTTTTATTCATCCGAACTGCAGTCAGTGGGTACGTAAGCAGAGATCAAAAAGAGATAATGGCGAGTTTCACGGTTCCTTTTAGGTCTCACTGTGCCGTTCACCCTGACATCGCATAGGTGACTGTCAACTGGGATCCAATCTAGTGGTGGGCTTTCTGCTCTAGTGCTTAATGCTGTGTACACCTGCAAGACTGTGAGAACTGGCCATCGAATCTTCAGAAACTCGAAGGGTAAATTCTGCGGTTTCACCATATCCGCCGAGTGAGGTTAAGTGAATAACTGCACTTCAGCCCCGTATGTGTCTCACAAACACAGTACACATCCATGGCCCGAGTTGCTAGAGTTTTGACCAGTGAAGCTTGTTGGCCAATTTGACGGAGGGTGCGGACATTAAAGACTCCAATGTTTGGTTTGAAGCGTGGTTTAAGGAGACCAAGGATGCTGTTCTGTGAACTCAGATCGTTATCGAAAGCTACAGAGCTAGAAAAAGTTAGAGATGATATAGGATTGTTAACTGGGAGACGTGAAGGAAGATTAGAAGGTAAGGATGAGGGAGGTGGTTAGTAGTCTGGGGGAACTTGAGCGCTGACAAAGTTGTGAGGGTAGTTGAGAATTTCTGGCTGCCCATACCGTCAAAGGCTAGGTCTTCTTGAGATACCTGAAAAAGGGTTACTGCATGACTACAGAGTTCAAGAGACATCTGCTTGAGGCTGGTCACGTATGGAATTTTTGATGCCAAGACAACTGTTCTTTATTGTGGAGGATGTAGTCGGACATGCGTCTTGTGGTTTTGGGATCACCACTAACCATTGCTGACTAGTCTAAGCCATCATAATACATCATCTCTTTGTTTAAGAACATGTTAAGGGTGAGGGTAACTGGTTTTTGTCTAACCACTATCCGACAGACATTTCCGGTATATTAGGACCTCGAGATAACAAGCGTTTCACCAACATAGCTCAAATCTATTTCTCCATCATTCGGTTACAATTAAAAATTGCCATAAACACTCGTATTAGTAGCAAATAATTTAAAAGGTGAATCGTTGCTTCTTTCTTCAGGTAATCAATATTAAAAGCGGATTCCGCGTTTACTTCTGCATACTAATGCTTCGGCAGTCAGTGAAGTACCATTAGCTCCCAGGTGTAGCATCCGAACGTGTGTGGTAGCTGAGATGAATTACTGTTATTTCGAATCATGCCGCAAACACATGGGAAACTCAACACGGTGAACGCTCGTGCAGTGGGCAATGAGTCATACCCATTGTATGGGGGATAGGGATATCTAATTCGCTGATCAAACCTTGGTAGGTGATGGGTCTGAACCGGTAACTCACCAATTCGAAACTAAGTGCCTAGATCAATGAGCCACAGATCCATACGGGTCTCTTACGGCAAGCCTGTTCTAATAAAAGATCAATTAAACAACCCTCTACAAGTTTATATGCCGAGAAGATGAACCATAGACAAGTAACAGTTTAGGATACTAAACGAATAACCAGGCCACAATAAATGGAGTTGGGTAAATAATTGATGCAAATCGATCAGCATAAATGGGTTTTAGTACTAATCAGTAATCCAGACTAATTATGTCAGTTTTGCTGCTAACTGTGTAAACCTCATCAAGTGGAGGGAAGTTTGAATTTTTGACCTGAAAATTCTTAAAGCGTGGCAACTTACAAAATATAGATCCACAAAACGATAAGCTCAAAAAGCAGCCACACATACCATCACTTCAGCATCAAAATTGAGGACTCACTTATTATGCATATTTTCCGTAAAACAGTACCGACTACTGTAGACTGACCTTTCAAGTAGACGTACTGGTTTTTTCTGAATTGTTAAGAACAAAATAAACAGTAAGCGATTCCTCACAAAAGATTATCAGCAGGAAAGAACAAGAAAGAACAAATATAAAACATTCGAAAGTGGCTGAGGAAAATAGAACCATAAATCTAAGTTGAACACCTAAAAAGTAGTCACAAGAACCACTACATGATCAACGGATGAAAATATATGCCTGATATCTTGGTAATTTTTTCAGTTTTAAAGAATGAACTTGATTGGAATCTTGCCTACAAAGATTAGATAAAGGACTGCCAACTACTTCATCATGGATTACAATATATTATCAATAGCCCTCACATATTGTGTGGCACACATCACACACACAGGCACATAGTTGATAAGTGGCATACTGTTTGGTCATTTGAAAGCCAAACTATGTGTAAAAGAATCCCTTAAAGGTCAAGGGTAGACAGATAAGTGAAACTGGACTCCGCATGACAATCTTTGCGAAAATATACGTTTTGGAGAATTTACTCAAGAAGGATACCATAACCAAACATACGTGTAAAAGTAGAAAGTGAACATCACAAAATAAGATCTGGCATTTTTTCATGACAGTTACGGTCACCACACAATGCATGAAGCAAAAGAATAACAACATAAACTGTGACAAAAAAACAGAAAAACGAAATCAACAAAAGTTGAAGAGGACAGTAAAGGAACGAGAAGCAGGAGAATAAGAGTTCAGAAAGCGGTATAGCGACTAAGAGAAATGAGTGCATCTGCGCTACTGTGACGAATATTGAGTCATGTGATCTACACTACAACAACTAGTTTAAGTTGTCGAATCAACCCCAAACTGAAAGCCGATATTTCTTCACATGAAGGTGTACACCACGGTTGTTCACTCCGACCATTCTTAGTAAACTCTACTGCAAATGTACTGATTTAAGTGACCTTACTTACCCTTAAATTTTCAGGAACTGTCATTAACGACTTAGAGTACGTAAACAATATAACCCTGTTAGGAAATAACACTGATGAGGTACAGTGTCTTTTGAACTCGGAACGAAAATCGGAATGCATTTAGAGAGCATTTTGCATTTGTCTAATGTAGGATGATAACGTCAGGACTGGAAGGCACTGACTTCTAGCCTAAGCTTGGGAAGTAAAAAGGGGAAAGTTGCACCAGCTCTCATGTGCCATTTACTGACAAAATAGCAACTCGAACGTGAAAGTCTGGTTTGACATCTACCAATATGCGCCACCTTTGATGCCAACCAACTGCAAAAACAAAAGTCAGGTATGATGAAAAGCAGTTCGCTTTTTCCTGTTCTATGAGTGGTAAGTGTTTATAGTAGGAAGCACGAAGAATTTTAAGGTTTCTGACCGTGTCTCCGAAGTATTGACCAAGTGATGGAATTACCATGTGAGAAGTGTAGAGGTTAGGCGTAGACCACCAAACAAAGAAGGTAAGTTACCCGATAACTTTGTATTAATTCAATGACTGAAGGAGATGGAACGTATGTAGCGCATGAATACTCAGTGACTAACTTGATGTGCGATTTTACAGTGACTAGAACTACAGAGGCAGGAATTCAACGGTAGGCAGACCAAGATATAGCACCAGTTCAGCCTGTCAGTCTGAATCATGCAGGGGAATTTAGACTAACTTGTGAGGCTCCTCGACATGATAGAAGTCGATTTTAGACTCGGTGACATGGCTCGAAAGCGGCTATAATGATGCAGTTCCAATTACTCTCTCATTCTACGAAATTTGAACCCTTTTGTTAAGCTTTATCTTTCTACCCTCGTTCCACACACTTTTGTCTACTTTGGTTTACTTTTTCGTCGATGTTTTGTGTAAACTATGACAACTTGAACAAAAATACTTGTGTAAGATTTTACGCCAACTTGTTTCAATGTTCTCCTAGTTAGTGATACTAACTAATCACAACTCTAATGAATACTTTCAGTAGTAATTTGAGAACATTCCGTGCGTTCGTCATTTTTTAATGCACAGAACATACAAAACCAAAGAAGCTAGAAATATAAGTGATACAGTGATATATTATTACTATCCCTGTGCGCGATGCAGAGACAACAGCGGACATGCTCACACCACTATTGCAGAAGGTGTGAAAGGAAGAGAAGGTACCTGACGATTGGAAGAAGGGTTACCTTGTCAAACTGCCGAAGAAGGGAGACCTCAGTGCTTGCAAGAACTGGCGCGGAAACACTCTCCTGTCCACCTTAAGTGAAATATTAAGCCGCATCATCCTAGAGAGGCTTAAAGACGCACTGGATTCAAAACTGCGACCGGAACAGGCAGGCTTCAGGAAGTACAAATCATGTGCAGACCAAATTGCAACGCTTCGTGTCATCATAGAACAGAGCATAGAATGGCAATCAGCTCTCTACCTCAATTTCATCGACTTTGAGAAGGCCTTTGACAGCGTCGACCGAGAAGTAATTTGGAAACTGCTTCAATACTACGGAGTACCGCAAACCTTTATCCGCCTCATTCAACAACTATATGAAGATGCCACATGCCAAGTAATCCACAATGGGAAGCTCAGTGATGCCTTTGAAGTGAAGACAGGAGTGAAACAAGGTTGCCTACTATCTCCCATGATATTCCTTATTGTGGTGGACTGGATCATGCAACAAACAGTAGGCAGCGAGAAGAGGGGGATACACTGGACGACGGAAAAGAACCTAGAAGACTTGGATTTCGCCGATGACCTATGCCTAATGTCACACAAACTTGAAGATCTGCAGGCAAAAACTAACAAGTTGATAGAAGAGGCAGCTAAGACGGGACTTCAGGTGAATATAGAGAAGACAGAAGTGATGAAGATACCGCACCACCACCATCAACAACAACAACAACAACAAACTCCAATCACCGTCAACGGGAGAAACTTGAAGGAAGGAACCTCCTTCACTTATCTAGGAAGCACTGTTTCAACTACAGGTGGCACAGGCACAGACACAGACGAGGATGTCTAAGTCAGAATTGGAAAAGCAAGACAGGCGTTCATTAACCTGAAACCAGTGTGGAGATCTTCTGCACTCAGCATGCGGAACAAGATACGGATTTTCAACACCAACGTCAAGTCAGTGCTCTTGTATGGCTCAGAGACTTGGCGCGTCACGAAAGGTATTTCCAATAAACTACAGACATTCATCAACAACTGCTTACGCTCGCTGCTGAAGATCAGATGGCCAGAAAAAATAAGCAACAAGGAACTCTGGGAACGAACCAACCAAGAACCTATCACGCAACAAATATGCAGGAGGAAGTGGAGATGGATTGGCCATGCACTGAGAAGGCCGACGGAGGACATCACGCGTCAGGCCCTCGAGTGGAATCCCCATGGGAAGCGACGAGTTGGACGTCCGAGGGTGACATGGAGGAGGTCGTGCGAGGAGGAAATGAGAGCTTGTGGGCTGTCGTGGGACCGGGTTCAAAAGATCTCAGAGAACAGAGGTCACTGGAGGCGTGCTACTGAAGCCCTATGTTCCACTAGGAACCCAAGGGACAAATAATAATAATAATAATAATCCCTGTGCGCTATATATCAGATAAACGGATCTAATATGGAAGCCAGAAATATAAAATAAGTAAAAGGAACTCAAAAAAGGTAGAAGGAATTGACACATAACTATCAGAATACTAGTTCTAAGAAATGAAAACACCTGCACTATTATCACATGAACCAACTGTATTATTCCATTTTAGTGTCCATTGGAGCACTTCATTTTACTGAAGGATAAGAAAGATAAAGTACAAATTAAATTGAACGGATGGTAAACAGCTGGATGGCTACATATTTTATGTGCCGAACTTTGAGCGACAAATCCTTTGAAATGGAATGGTAGTGCTGCCTGAACACTGACTGCATATATAGCAGCAGTTACTTATTGACAAGAACTTACAAGTCGTCGGACAGATTTTCTCCCTGCCCTTCACTAAGTGCTTATCAGTGGATATATATTGTCACATATTGGGTGAAATATTTTATATATGAACAACAATTTCATGACAAATCATTGGTAACTTTGTCATTATTTTGACGTTTGTAACATTCGTAAATCAGATGCGACCGTCCAAAGGTCTCAGTCTTTCGAGCAGTCACCAAAATAGTGAATAGTATAGCTTGAATTTGTCAACCAATCAGCATTTTTAGTTTGTGAAAAATCAAAACGGCATCAAAGTTCGGACTACAAGTGTAAATAAGTTGGGTGTAACAATCCATCAATGACAGCCAAAGAAACGTAGATAACAACCACAAACAGATTGACAACTGAGAAAGCTTACGATTTTTATTGTGCGATATAAGAAAGGTAGGCACCTACGAATCACTTCTAAAGGACTTGAAATAAAAAAATAGCTGAAACTAACATCTAACATAACTGGCTGCAAAAACAATAGATAGACTTTATACTCAGTTCGTATAGCCAAATGCAAACTGCAGAGATAGACTTCATGAGAGATTATTTTACTCGAGAATAAAAAGAAAATGAGTGACTAGAGAAGAAAATTGTATGAGTTTTGAAATAAAAGTGATTTTTATCTTAATGTATAATGTACATTCAACTCATACTGTTAATACGAAGCGGCACTAACATTAGAAATAGAAACTACAGAACGCATATCATGTAAGTCCTAAGTTCAACGGGAAAAGTAGTGATTTCTTTGTTTGTACTCACTTCAAAATAACCATCACAAATATGTGCATCGGCCAGTCACTATATCCACGCATACTGTTGTATTTATCCGCCAAGATAACCAACATTATTCTGAAGCGAACATACGTAGACTATTCAGAACTCCCTTACACATTTCTACAAAGCACCTACATTCATCAACCATTTTACTAATGAAAAACGCTCCTTACAAGCAGGCACTGAAAAGATATATATTTTGTTACAGGGCTTTGAAGTGTTTACAACCAATGAAATATAAGAGTCAGGAAGAAACATCAGCTAAAAACTGAATTTTTCTAAACTGCGGTAAAATGAACATAATATTCATGTCCCAATAATACAAACCAGACAGCAGTGCCGCATGGTAAATTCATTCCAGATCAGTTCTAGTATAATATCACTACAATGAACATTCTGTTTCATCACGGGATACCGTAATGCAAGTGACTTGCACAAAACCCTTAACAAGATCGAGTTTAGAAGCGTGCCAAGATAAAATTAATAGGTTATAGGCCAGTTATGTAAATGCCGGCAAGTTTTTTGAGCACTAATCGAAATGTACTCTGTAACCACCACCATGTTCAAAAAGTAGGCTTGGGACCACACCCATTGTGTGCGGGCTAATGATACTAACTGTCTATGCCTGAGTTTGAGGCCAAGTTCGAACCTGCAATCCACTGGTTGAGTCAGGTGGTTAGACCGATAAGCCAAAGCTCTATTGGTAAACAGCTTCATAACATTGGCTCAATTATACATCCTTATTACACCTGCTTTTGCTGGATAACTACACACTTGCGATGTTCGATTGTATATCTGTCATTCTTCAAGGTCTTGAGGCAACAGGACAAACTTTACGATTTGAGACAATCACGGACTACCTGTAGCACTAAGTTATCTGTAATGATACATCTCGTATTATTCATGCTGTCCTAAGCTTCAGTTTTGAATAACACATGAACAATCCAGGCAGTTTCTAGAACTGTTTATAACTATTTCCATGCTTCAAAAACAAGAGTTTTGTGTGGCTTAGCTGTGAGAAAGAAGCTGCTTATTAAAAACAGACTGTTAGAAATAATAAAATTAACCACTAACTAAACAATATTGGTCGAAACGGCTCTGTACAGGATGCTGGCAATAAAGTCAAATACCATAAATCTTCCAGCAAGTACAGGACATCTCGAGGTAAAGTTAAAAGATAGTAATCTCTGAAGTCCCCAGTTGAACCCCATATCTTGGGAAAAAGTTGTGCACTCTAGATTATGACAGGTATTTTAGGCGTGGACATTTACAAGCAACGAAGATAAACAGACTTGTTCTGACCACAATGTTGCACATGACACCTAATTATGGTATCTCTGCCTACTAAACAAATCAGTATTCTGCGAAAACGATAGTAAGCTAATCGACCCAAATCAACGCTGATTTACCTTATTATAAAATATAAACTGATTCCAACAAATAGACATAAGGCTAAGATGCAATCCATAAGTAAAAGTGCACAGCTGAAAGGTTTGCATACAACAAACGTAAATTAATTACCGGTAGTTTTGACTGCCGATCCAGCAGTGTTACTAGCACTTGAGCTTGAAATGGAACACACCAACGAGGCGAATCTTGGTACATTAGTTCCTGTTTACATAGGATAGTGGGTAATGGAAAAATTACGAATAAATTATAACCGCGTGCATCTTTCCATAGGTGCAATGGTTCATGAAGGACTTCGTTCTTTGGTGACAGCTGCTGAAAAAAGCGGAGAAATGTAGATTTTCCACAGCCTATATTTCCTTCGACCATTACCTATGCATGTTTGGTTGTTTGAAGTTGTTAACTTACGGTATGGAACTCAGCATTCGAAGACATCACGAATACACCTTATTCAGACCTAGGATTCGAATCAAATTGAATGCACATCATAAAAAGCATCCCGACTCAAACTTCAAACTTCGTGTCGTAGAATTAGTGAACGGTGGTTGCTTCAGTTCTACGTCTGTTTTATTGAAGTACGTTCACAGTGATAGATGTCTTCCTTGTCCCGAGAAACCCAAAAAGCACTGGTCGGGCGCTGTTTGAAAAGGGGAGTGACCTTTTACGTCCAGCTAGATTCTGGGCATTTTTCGTGTTTACACATCAAAGACTATTGTTTCCTTATGCTCTAATCGGAATATTATTCGATTAAAGTGAGACAGGAACTTTTACTGATTGAATTTCCGTAGTTTTTGCTACACTGTGAGCCAAAGGTAAAAATCTTTGTGGTAGGGCCGGGTGCTACTTCTCAGTGGTCTCCGGTATGCGATGTAGCGAATGTAAGAGCCGGTTCCACGATAGCCGTACAAGCCTCAGACCCCCAGCATACAAGAGGTACAGCAAGGCAAGAAGTGTCTGCTTTTCTATGTTGTGCTTCTCGGATACTCACACTCTAGTGGAAGTAGCAAAAACACTTCTAAATACGGTAACTGAGAAACTGTCGTCGAAAGTCAAAGCCGATAGTTGTGACACCGATGACGAAGCAGCATCCACTGACACACAGATTTCAATACAAAATTGTAAGAACGACCCACGACAAACTGTAAGTCAGCGCGTAGACCACCTACTACGTTTGCTGGCAGTGACTTCGAAGAACCTTCACCGAGCACGGTGAAGCGAGTATCTCCTGGTTCTTACATCCCCAAAGCTGGTAGATCCAGTCTGAAAATTGCTGACCGTAAGACTAAGTCTACTTCAGATGAAAGAAACAGGAGTGAAGCGCTCTCAGCGCCAACGACGGAACCATGCAGGTCGTAGGTCATACCCAATTCGACGGCCCAACCATTGACAAGAACCAGGCAGAATGGGGTGCAAGCCTGTCTTCAGGCTCTCAGCTTCGAGGCCACTGAACTAGGCTTCAGTAAACCTTGCATACCCGACTCTGAAAAGTGGTAAGTAACTAAGCCTAAACGGCATGCTAAGAAGTCAACAACGGTCACTCAGCCAGCTATCATCACTCCACAGAGCAAAGACAAAGTGGAGATCCTTGACAGGTCCGCGATCTTCCGCAGAGTGGAAGTCAGTAGTGATAAAGAACCAGGCAAACGTTTTGAACAAGACATTGACGAAGTGCAGCCTGAGAAACCAGCTTTTAGTGGGAAACCTGCCAGGAGCCAACCTACTCAAGATTTACAGAGTGGGAAAACAGGAGAGACTCATTGGTGAAAATAAGTTTCCGCTACTTAAAGCCATTTTCAACTCAGAGGAGAAGTTTATCTCACTGCCATCCTCGCCCTACGGTGGGGTATGTGGGTTCGGCTCCCGCAAGACTGTCGCTGTTAGACCTATAGTGTTGGCCTGTCGGGGTGGTCTAGCTGGCGGGCGACCTCGTAGACCGTTGTCAGATCTTCCCTCTTCCTTTGATGGCTTGAGATGGAAAAGTTAGGTTTTCAAAGGAGTTGCGTATGCATATTGCCTGCTAGTCCCACAACCGACCTTGTTGACCTTCCCTACACCCTCTCAAGACTGTTAGCGTCACTCTGTAGTCGACTCAGGCCTATCGCGTTGAACACCTCCAAGCGTGGTATTAGATCTAAGCGCAATGAGAAGGATTTCGGGGGTTGGTGCTTCAAGCTGCCTTCTTAAGAAGCATATAGTGGTGTTAGCCTTCAACACCGCCTCCTTATAAATGGCACTGGTATCCAGTGGTCCCAGGCCTTCGTCTGTGGTTGCCCACCCACTCACTCGTTTGGGGCGCATATGGTACTCACTACATCCAGCGTGGGAGGATACATCACTTCGCATCTCTCCAGGCCGAAGCTCGAGCCATCCGCAGCTGACCAGAACTCTGGCTGCAGCGGATCGTCTTGAAGTATCCTAGGCTCCCCTTCCTTACCTACTGTCCTCCGACTTTTGATGTCGTCAGCAGATAAGATGGTGGACAAGTAGATCTGAACGGGAAAGTCAGCAATGTAAATAAAAGTAGGAGAGGATAGCCCTTCGAGAAACTCCTGTATTAGAACTCCTCTGGGCTGATCACGTTCTGTCTGCTTCAGTGCAGAATTTCCTGCATCCTAGATGTGCCGTGAACCATGTAAAGAGTGGTTCAGTTTCGTGAAGTTAGAGAACATGGTGCGGTGTGAGACACCATCGAAAACTTTGGCCAAGTCTTCGAAGACAACGCGCACCGAGCGTTTGTTGCCTCATCTGGAGGTCCAGCCGACATACGGGGTTGTAGCGTCACACACTTCCCCAAAATCAGTAGCCTAGGGTTTGACGACTTTCGACATTGATGCTGACCTTGATAGTTTAACTGGACTCTCTAAGCTGAAGACACCCGGTCAAGCATCCTCGCCATTTGGCACGCTGTCGTGTTATGTTGCACTGCTCGTATTCGACTCTAGCCAGTTAGTTGGAACGCATTGGTATTTTGGCACAACCATCCAAACATACTATTCCATCCGACTACTTTATTGTGTTCTTCCTTGGTCTCGAATTCGTGGGTATATAACAAGTCCAAATAATTCGTGATTGGTTTTTGCGTCTGTCAAGTTCGCACCAGGACAAATCTTAAATTGGTGAGCCCGACGTGATCACATATCCCGACCAATAACAGATGTTGAATTGGTGAGCCCGTTCTATTTTATACTTGTATATTGTTTTCATTTCGATAACATTTATATATCCATTTACTAAACTTTCTCATGTCCGGCCACACTCCCAAGCTTATTCGTATTAAGCCGACTATGAGCACGATCCAACTCGTACCATATTGGCCAGACAATGCAGAAACATGGTTCCTGTATGCCGAGGCAGATTTTGGAGAACAGGGCGTCTTAGATCCTCATTCTCGATTTCTTGCTGTCGTACGTCCATTACCGCGGGGATTAAACAAACATGTTACGGCACATATGTTTAATCCTGAAGTAAGTGATCCTCATGCACCTCTCAAGGCCGCACTCTTGAAGAAAAGCTATCTGACAGATCGCCAGCGCCTAGACGAATTGCTTCGTAACTCGAGCTAGGCAGCCACTCAGCTACTGAAGTCCTCGCACGCACGCGGGAAGTAATCGGCGCACGAACATTCAACAAGGGCCTATTCCGAGAACTATTTCTGTCAAAACTACCACAGCTGGTGCAAACCGTGTTGGTGACACTGCAGTCAGTCCCACTCGATGACCTGGCAGCTTCAGTAGATGAAATACTGGAGATTTCTAGCAGACCCATCTCCAACGTATATTCTGTCTGCAACAAACCAGAGCGCCAGGGTTCAGAGGTGACAAAGCTGTGCAACTCTGTTAAACAGTTGCTACGATCTCGAAGTCCTAGTTCACGTAGAACTCTACAGAAAAGCATCTTAGTGCATCGCAGCAACTCTCGTGGTTGCCCCAAAACTGAACCTGACAGGGTGGAAGACCCTGAATGTTGCTGTTTTCATAATACTTAGAGGGACGAAGCCAAAAAATGTCGTAAACCATGCAGTTTTAAGAAGGACACAAACTCGGGAGACGGTCATGCCGGCACGTGCTCATGGCAACCGCAGCCAGCGGAAACAGACGTTTGCTCTACGTCACGGATATTAAAACGAAAGTTCGCAACCTCGTCGACACCGGCGCGGAAGTTAGCGTTCTTCCCGTACCGACAAAGGAGCGTCATCATGATCCATCCTTCAATCTCCAAGCAGCCAACGGCATTCAGTCGCGACATTCGGGAGACAGCATGCCTACCTTAACTTGGGTTCGCCTAAACCTATCCACTGGATTTTCCTCCAGGCTGACGTCTCTATGCCCATCACTGGTATAGATTTGCTAAACCATTACGATCTATTCATAGGTGCTCGCCGTCGACGACCGATAGATAACAATACAAAGTTATCTATTGGCGGCACCACCTATGTAGGTCCGAGTTTAGCCCTCATTAGAACCAGACAATCGGGCGACGCGTCCTACCAAGCAGTTTTGGAGAAATATCCAGAGTTGCGACAACCGAAACACACTCTTCCGTGCATGACCAGCAATGCTATGCATCACGTCACAACCACAGGTCCAGCCATGGCATCCAAAGCTCGCCCTCCAGCCCCCGATAAGCTCAAAACGGTGAAAAGCGAATTCGACCACATGCTGTAACTGGGCCTTATCAAACCGTCAAACAGCCCTTGGGCATCACATTGCACATGGTTCCCAAAAGGACAGCAGCGACTGGCGTCCAACCGGTGATTACCGAAGGCTTAACGCCAAAACAACTCCGGACTGCTACCCGATACCTCACGTTTGAGATTTGGCTGCAACCTTATGCGGAATGAACATTTTCCACAAAACCGATTTGGTAAAAGCGTACAACCAGATACCTATGGCAGCAGATGAAAACAGCCATCATTGCTCCTTTTGGCCTGTTCGAACTCCGGCGCATGCCATTTGGTCTTCGGAGTGCAGCACAAACATTCCAGCGCTTTATGGACGATGTCTTCCGTGGTTTGAACTTTGTTCATGTCTACATCGATGACTGTCTAAATGCGAGTCCAGGTAAGGAAACTCACCTTAAACATTTGGACCCCGCATCCGAAAGACTTAAAAAAACATGGCATCACAGTCAACTTACAGAAGTGTGAAATAGGAGTTGAATCACTCAGCTTCCTTGAGCATACCACTGACAGTAAAGGTACACGCCCATTGAGAGATAAAGTGGCGGCTATCACAAACTATCCAGAGCCGACCACTGTGAAACATCTCCGCACTTTCAATGGCCTGGTAGGTTATTACCGAAGGTTTATCCCCAAATGTGCCTCTGTCATGAGGCCATTAACAGATCTACTTCGAGGAACTACGAATTTCGTGATCCTGGACAACGTAGCCAGACTTGCTTTCTCTAAGGTCAAGGAAGCCATTTCAAACGCAACCATTCTCATGCATCACAACCCCAGTGCTCCTCTGAGTATTGCTGCTGACGCGCCTGATTCAGCAATTGAAGTAGTTTTGCAACAATTGACTGACAACCAGTGGCAACCGTTAGCCTTTTTCTCGAAGCGGCTGCAAGACGTGGAAATAAGCTACAGTACATTTGGTAGGGAGAACAGAGCATAGAATGGCAATCAGCTCTCTACCTCAACTTCATCGACTTTGAGAAGGCCTTTGACAGCGTCGACCGAGAAGTAATTTGGAAACTGCTTCAATACTACGGAGTACCGCAAACCTTTATCCGCCTCATTCAACAACTATATGAAGATGCCACATGCCAAGTAATCCACAATGGGAAGCTCAGTGATGCCTTTGAAGTGAAGACAGGAGTGAAACAAGGTTGCCTACTATCTCCCATGATATTCCTTATTGTGGTGGACTGGATCATGCAACAAACAGTAGGCAGCGAGAAGAGGGGG